GAGCAAAGAGACAAGCCGATTCAACACCAAAAAAGACTACCTCCACGCGACTAAGCCACTGTGGGCAATCATGCAATGGCATTCATTGATTGTTGCATTGCTCCACTCGCGTCCCACGAGATCGTGGATGGCGGTTTGGCCTCTCCACCATTCAGGATGAGTCGGGCCTGTGTTGCGCCACGGTCCGCGTCACAGCGGTCTGATTTATTTTTGGTGCACTGATTTTTATTTGCCAACTCGAGCGTAGCCCATATACAAACTCTGTGCAGAGTACTATGCAAAGAGTACTATGCAGAGAGCGCTATGTAAAGAGTGCTATGTAAGAGTGCTATGTAAAGAGTGCTACCCGAAGGGCCGGAGTGATCGTCCTCTCCGTACATAGCGTTGAACCTTGCGAAGGAGGAGAAACGAAAGAAGGGGAATCGGAATGCTTCTGCTATTATTCGAGGCGTGCCCTTTCGGAACCTCCTCGGGTAAGGATATTCGACTCGCCTCTCCACCAAGACCGGAGTTGACGACGTATCAGAGACTTCAGCCATTAAAAGACACCCAGAGGAATCATCCTGAGAGCACCGTCGGGCCCGAAAGTCTTTCGTTCAGGGCCCCAGAATACGAGGTTTTCTTTTTTAGGCGCTCAACATCTGCGCGTGTGTCTGTTGTCTGTGCCTGACTCCCCTCCGCTGTGCTCTCCTCTCCCCTGCTACTACTAGTGGTACTTGTCTCAAGAGGATCGTACCCTCGTTTAACCTGTCTCTCCATATTGCCACCCCCATATTCATCATCCCGATCGTTTTGACGCTAAAAAAGCGTCCCAAGCAGCCTTTCTCAGGCGTCATTTTGGGTTCCTGGTTCCTCACGGGCACGATTCAAGGCGAGGCTCAAAAGAATAAAAATAAAAAAGGCAGCATTCTTTCTCGCAGGCGATGCTCCACAGGTAAACAACGGACCGTCTTTTCGTCGCTCTTTTATTAATATTGGATTGGCTTGGCTTTGCATAGCGCTCTGTCGCTGCGGATACTGCATTTTATTATTGCATCCTTCTTCTAACCAACCACCTAACCTACTACTTCCTCTGCCGTCCTCTCTCCGCCGATTTCTCTCGCTTGGTTTTATTTTTATTTCTTCTTGATCCAGATTTGAAGATCTGGATCTTCATCCTTCCTCCATTTCACAATGGGTACACAGTTCCCCTTTAGGAACTCCCATTCTCCTCAGGAGAGCCAGAGCAGCAGTGGCTACTCGCCGGCCACAACGCCTTATAGGGTGAGTGATTCAGCTTGCTGTCATCGAAACAGGGCCTCCGTGGACTGTTGGCTAACGCGCTCTGTTTTCCTGGCTTCCAGCAAAGCGGCCTCGAGGAGACTGAACAGGAACTGTCGCTGCTTCGCGGTCAACCCAGCCCGCAACCCGGCGCCCCGCAGCCCAGTCCTTTTGGCGCCCCCTTCGATAACAATTATTCTACCGACTCACTTCGTCGATACACGCTACACGACCCTGGTGTGACCGTGTTCCCGAATGTGCCGCCCTACGAGGGTCAGCAAGACTACGTGACCAGTCCCTACGGCGCTCCGGCGTCCGAAGGAGGAACGACTTCATCAGATGCGTGGAAGCGACGACAAGGACCAGGAACGGGCCTCTCGCGTCGCTATGGTACGAGAAAGATTAAGCTGGTGCAGGGCTCCGTCTTGAGTGTCGACTATCCCGTTCCAAGCGCCATCCAAAATGCCATCCAACCGGAATACCGGGAGTCGGAGGAGGCTTTCACAGAAGAATTTACGCACATGCGATGTGAGTCCCAATGCACAGAATGCTGGGATCGAGATTGTACGAGGACAGGGGCTAATATGAAGGTCGAATCCAGATACCGCGGCCACTTGCGATCCCGACGAATTTACTCTGCGGAATGGATACAACTTGCGCCCGGCGATGTATAACCGACACACGGAACTCTTGATTGCCATCACCTACTACAACGAAGATAAAGTCTTGACCGCACGAACGCTGCACGGTGTCATGCAAAATGTGCGCGATATCGTCAACCTGAAGAAGTCGGAATTCTGGAACAAGGGAGGCCCCGCGTGGCAGAAGATCGTGGTCAGCTTGGTGTTTGATGGAATCGACCCTTGTGACAAGAACACGTTGGATGTGCTAGCGACCATTGGTATTTATCAGGATGGGGTGATGAAGCGAGATGTTGACGGACGGGAAACCGTCGCTCACATTGTCAGTTCCTAACCACCCGTTCATGGTTCCCCAGAAGTCCCATTATCCTAGGAGCTAACACGCGTACAGTTCGAGTACACCACCCAACTCTCCGTCACAGCAAACCAGTCATTGGTGCGACCGCACAAAGATGATCCCAATACGCTGCCCCCGGTCCAGATGCTTTTCTGCCTCAAACAGAAGAACAGCAAGAAAATCAACTCCCACCGATGGCTGTTCAATGCTTTCAGTCGGATCCTCAATCCAGAGGTTGTGATTTTGATTGATGCAGGAACAAAGCCCGGTCGCAAATCCCTATTGGCGCTGTGGGAAGCCTTTTACAACGACCGTAACCTCGGAGGCGCTTGTGGAGAGATCCATGCCATGTTGGGTGAAGGATGGCGCAACTTGGTGAATCCACTCGTCGCTGCGCAAAACTTTGAATATAAGATTTCCAATATTCTGGATAAGCCTTTGGAAAGCGCCTTTGGATATGTCAGTGTGTTGCCTGGTGCATTCTCGGCGTACCGGTACCGTGCGATCATGGGACGCCCGCTGGAACAGTACTTCCATGGTGACCATACATTGTCCAGGAAGCTCGGCAAGAAGGGTATTGAAGGAATGAATATCTTCAAGAAGAACATGTTCTTGGCCGAGGATCGTATTCTTTGCTTTGAACTGGTGGCCAAAGCTGGGTTCAAATGGCATCTTTCCTATGTGAAGGCGTCCAAAGGTGAAACCGACGTGCCTGAAGGAACAGCCGAGTTTATCAGTCAACGGCGAAGATGGCTGAATGGATCTTTTGCGGCCGGTCTGTATGCCATGATGCATTTCGGGCGTATCTACCAAAGTAGCCACAACTTCCTTCGGATGTTCTTCTTGCACATTCAGATGCTTTACAATTTCGCACAGCTCGTCATGACCTGGTTCTCCCTTGGTATGTCCTGAAAACCTGCATCCCGAAACATTGGCCTTTTGATTACTGACAAGCACAGCGTCCTACTGGCTCACCAGTTCCGTCATTATCGACCTGGTGGGAACGCCTAGTTCGACAAACATGTACAAGGGATGGCCATTCGGTAATGAGGCGACCCCAATTGTGAACAACATTCTCAAATATGGTTATATCTTCTGTCTCATGCTTCAGTTTATTCTGGCTCTCGGAAACCGACCCAAAGGGTATGTCTTGCTTTTCATATCGGCAATGTTCCATGGCTAATTCTCTATTTTATTCTTTGTTGATAGTGCACGACTTCCGTATACGTTGTCGTTCCTGTACTTCTCCATCGTTCAGTTCTATGTCCTCATCTGCTCATTCTACCTGGTCGCAAATGCTTTCAGTGGTGGCACGTTAGATTTCGACACTGACAATGGCGTCGGCGCATTCCTGAAATCGTTCTTCAGTTCTGCAGGACCGGGTATTGTGTTGATTGCATTGGTATCGACATACGGTATTTACGTGGTGGCCAGTGTGTTGTACATGGACCCGTGGCACATCTTGACGAGTTCGTGGGCGTACTTTGTTGGAATGACGACTTCGATCAACATCCTGATGGTTTACGCGTTCTGTAACTGGCACGATGTTTCGTGGGGTACCAAGGGATCAGACAAGGCGGATGCGCTACCATCGGCACAGACACAAAAAGACGGGCTAAAATCGAACTTCATTGAAGAACTGGATAAACCGCAGGCGGACATTGACAGCCAGTTCGAAACCACAGTGAAGCGTGCGCTGGCGCCGTTTGAAGAGCCCGAGGAGGAATACGAGAAATCGATGGATGATTCGTACCGGAACTTCCGAACCAACCTGCTGTTGCTTTGGATCTTCAGCAATCTGATTCTGTCATTGCTGATTACAGCGGAGAGCATCTCTCGGATGTGTCTGACCGTGAGTTTCCTTCCCTATCGCTGTCCTTCCACGGATGATACTGATTTTGCCAGAACACGTCCACGGACCGGACATCATACTTCTTCCAGGTCATTCTGTGGTCCACAGCAGTACTGTGCTTCTTCCGCTTCTTTGGATCCTTGTGGTTCCTGGGTCGGTCGGGCATTCTCTGCTGTGTGAACAGACGATAATGTGTCAATGTTTTCTTCTATATCTTCTTGGAAACTTTCTTTTTTTTCTTCATGAAATCTGTTATAATCTATTTTCTTGATCTTTTTCTATGGCGATGAACATTGGTGTAGGATAGGGATCCAGCGCATTTGTCTTTTGTGCTATAGGTGTTTCTCTGTCATCATACCAGTCTTGGTGGAACTCGTTATTTCTCGGTGTTACTTGATAGATCCGGCTGCAGATGATAATTTTGGTCCAATGCAATATTATTTGACCTATATTCCGTTCCTTTCATAAATGAATGTACATCGAAAACGCCGATGGTGCCTCTCGAGGTATAGCATCCTTTTTATACAGTTCTACAAGATTATTACATCACGTCCAGAGCACTTGGTATAGGGTATAGAACATATATCCCCACTCAGCTCCAGCCCCATCAACACCCAAAATTTGCCAACAGAAAGGTGTCCACGTGGATTAAGTAGACATCCCTAACTGCCTAGTTATATTTATTGATTGTTAATCATGCATGCCAGGCAATCTTGTGTTCTTGGGAAGATATGGCCTTTCCTTAGAGCCGATGAAGCTCACGTGTCACTGTGCAAACAGAACAAACACGGGAAGGACAAGGCCAAGGGTACTCTGTATGCGCGCCACTTTGATCTGCACACTTTCCCCTGTACTCTGTACTGCCGGCCTAGTAAATGTTATCTTCTGTTCCTGCAATTGAATCCGGTCAATGCCACCAGACTCTAGCTCCTCCGACGTGACATCTCCCACCGACGATGACTGGCATGGAATCGTTGACAAAATTGAACGACGAAGGCGACAGAACCGAGTGAATCAGCGCGCATGGCGTAAGTACAGCCCTGATTGTGGTTCAACGCAGATGCTGAATCATGCGTGTCTCTGTGCAGGACTCAGGCATAAGCAAAACCCGTTACATGATAGACTGCCGTCATCGTCCCCCTCGGCCAACGAGTCCGCTTTGCTCCCCTTTGTGCCACCGAACCATACGCACGATGGATCATCCTGCTCGAGACCGGAATGTTTCTTGATCAGTTCCGAGACCGAGACTTTGCTTAAGAGGTTTGAATCTGCCGCCTATACAAGTTATATCCTCGGGTCGCCTCAGGCGGATCACCTCTTGACTTTGGTGAGGGGAAACATTTTTCGCGCTCTCTTCCACAATCTCTCCGTATTGGGGTTATCGAAAGAATGGATGAACGAGGATGCTCTCTCGCCGCTCGCTTCGGACTCAGAATCCCACCTTGTCCGTGATCTCGCAGTGCTACCGGTTTCCCTTCAGCCCACCGCTCTGCAACGAAGTGTCGAACACCACCCGTGGCTGGACCTGTTCCCCTTGCCTCGGATGCGGGATAACATGATCAGATTGGGAGACGCTCTGGATGAATACCAATTGTGTGAGGATCTCATGGGATTCTGGAACACGCAACAGAAGGATTCTATGCTGGTCGTTTGGGGAGATCCCTGGGACCCGCGGAATTGGGAAATCACTGAGCAGTTCCTGCGAAAATGGAGCTGGTTGATCAAAGGATGTCCAGAGTTGATTTGGTCTACAAACTACTGGCGCCGTCAACGTGGGGAGAAGAAGATTGCCTATAGGGGTTACGAATGATGACCGGCGGTGTACGAACCACTAGTTTCCCATTCGACCCGGACTAGTTGGGATCATACCGTTCTCGCGACAGCGATGTCTTGCTGCCAAGACTCGCCCACATGGCTTACTCAATCTCAATCCGGAGAGCATCGAAGTGCATCGAACAACCGCTTCTTTCGACGGTTTCTGCCAAGAGTGACCCACACGGGCAAATAAGCAACCGCTATGCGATTGGCAATGTTGCTAAGTCCGTTTTGGGTTATGTGGGCCCCGTAGCGTGGACCGCAAATCGCCTATCGATCAAACTGGATTCCTTCTATACACAGTACTCTGTACAGGGAAGCAATGGCGATATTCTCTGTGTGGGGTACGTGGATCACTGCTGCAACGTTGATTTCAAATGTTATTGTCGCCGTGGGCTGCGATGACACTTGGTCGGAGCTAACGAGGTTATTATGTACGGGACCCTTCGATCACATCACCGAGCAAGACTTGAGCACGGAGCGTATAGTAACAACTTCAGTTCTTTGTCAGGAGAGCTGCTGAAGTGCACAAGAGTTTCCCTGCTTCATTCTCCAGCAGGGCTGCTATCCAGAAACTCTCCCAATTCAATACATTAGTTTTGGTTATTGTCGATTCTGTACTGGACCTGCAAAACTCTTCGTACTCCGTAGACTATGGTCGTCATCTATAGAAGCTTCCTAATCAATGCGATAGGCTCTATTGCAATCGGCTTACGCCCAGTCCCACACATCTGTACCATAATCTATCCGAGGACCCCCTTAGTAGTGGAGAATGATCTCATTGATTTACGCCGGGATGCCGGTTTCCCGAATTATCAAGTCAACTCAATCAAAGCACCTGACTCGCTAATGCCGTGATTCCATGATACCATAGTTACCGTCTTTTCGCTGACAAGCTTATGACCGGTTAACTCCATGGTTGCTGGTGTTAAATAGAGAGGTTGCCGGCACGAGGGATAAAGCAATTGCCCTTTATCATCGACTTCTGATTGCCTTTGTCATATCAACATAACAGACCTGCCATAATGTCTACCGAAACTGTCCTCATCTCCGGTGCCTCCGGTTTCGTCGCCACGCACGTTGTCGATGCCTTCCTCAAGGCTGGCTATGCCGTCCGGGGAACCGTCCGCTCTCAGGACACCGCCGAGAAGGTCCGTCGCACATTCCCTCAGTATGCGGATAAGCTCAGCTTCGCTATTGTCCCGGACATTGGTGCTCCCCATGCCTTTGACGAGGCTGCCAAGGGCGTGCGCGGTGTCATCCACACGGCCACTCCCTTCCAGATTGAAGTTGAGGACAACGAGCGCGATTTGCTCATTCCCGCTATTGAGGGTACCAACAACCTCCTCGACGCCGTGAAGAAGAACGCCCCCGAGGTGCAACGCATCGTTATCACTTCCTCGTTTGCCTCCATCATCGACTTGGGCAAGGGTAACCGCCCGGGCCACGTGTATTCCGAGGCCGACTGGAACCCTCTGACCTATGAAGTGGCTGCTAAGAAGGAAACCCCTGGTGCTGCTGCGTACACTGCCGCCAAGACCCTGGCAGAGCGTGCGGCCTGGGACTTTGTCGAGCGGGAGAAGCCCTCGTTCGATGTGGCCACCATCTGCCCTCCCATGGTGTACGGCCCTAACATCAACGCCACCACCAACCTCACCAAGCTCAACACTTCCTCCGCCGATATTTACCGGTTGATGTCGCCCAACTCCAAGCCCACTGACCCCGTTCCATCCAACGCTTTCTGGTCGTGGGTGGATGTGCGCGATGTCGCTCAGGCTCACTTGAAGGCCTACCAGCTGTCCGAGGCTGGTGGTCAGCGTTTCTTCGTCACGGGAGGCAACTTCAGCTACCAGCAGTTCGTTGACATCCTGCGGGAGAAGATCCCTGAGATCCAGGACCGCGTGCCTGTTGGAAAGCCCGGTTCGGGTTTTGGTGGCGTTGAGCTGTACGGCGTCGACAACTCCAAGTCCCAGAAGGTTCTGGGTCTCAAGTACCATGACCTCGAACAGACCGTTGTTGACTCTGCGCGTGCTTTCCTCGAGTTTGAGAAGAGTGCGTAGAAAGCATTGCAGCGAAACATTGAATAGAGATACCACGATATGCAGTTGTACATAATTTGCACATAATTAATGTGTTAGACTTGTAAATATGAATTCATCATAACTGCAACAGATCAGTTCAGCACAGTAGCTAGTAGCGGTAGCAGCGAATGCTAATCTGAACCAGTAGTTGCGACGCTTAAAACGATCGTTCAAAGTATACTTCAGTATGCTTCGTGGTAATGGTTTTCACAGACAGCCCCGAGGTTTTGGCTTTTTCGAGTGGCTGTTGCGTGTGGCGTTTTCACATGGACCACTGCTGGTTCCGCCGACTTAATGCACTCTTTGCGCGAGACTAACTACCAAACGAGGTAGAAATCCAGCGTCTTGACTCAGTTCCTCCGAAGAATGTCCATCTGACACAAGGAGCTGCATCTGTTTCCACATTAGTCCCCTGAGGCTGGTAACTGGACATCATGACTCACGTTAAATTGTAGAAGAATCATAACAATGACCTTTTTCAATTCAAGGAATGCCACTTGGGCTGCTGCGCAAGTTCGTCTGCTGGTATAAAATGCCAGGAGACCTTGCTCCATGCGCTTTCGTTTCTGTTGATCTGCAACGAGCCAGCGTTTCGGTCGAAATTCTTCCACACCCTCCCCGTAAACGTCTTGATCAATCTTGAAATAGTCAGGCTGCCATTCGATCACTGTTCCAGTTGGAAGATAATTTCCAGCAATGGTTCTTCCGCTTCCAGGCACTGAGACTTCAATGCTAGATGTCGTAGCCTGGCAGCGTATCGACTCTTTGAAAACGGCATCCAGGTAGCGTAGTCTGCTCACTTCTTCCCACTGAGGAATATGTGATAGGCGCTCATTATATAAGGCCGCGTCTATCTCTTCACTCAATCGAGTCATGGTCTCCGGGTGTCGCAACAGCAAGGAGAAGGTCGAAACAAATGCTGTTGAAATCGCATTTATCCCAGCCATCACAACCGATAAGTAGTCCTTGGATATCTCGTACACTTCTTGATTCCGTCCTTCAATATCAGTGCTGGGGGGTGTCCAGGAATACTTCTGAGTGGACACACATAAGAGCTCCTGGCGTTCTCGTTTTAACCTCATTATAGGACTCCAGAGCGTCAGATATTCTACCGTCGATGGCTGAGGTCCTGTTTCAGCAACGCCTTTCTCACTCCTCCAAGTCGTCTTCGCCAATACCATGTGCACAAATTCCGACGCGAAGACTCGAAGAGGCCCTGCTACCTCGAGAATTCGATATCTCTGTAAAGCTGAGATTAGGCCACTCGCAGATTGATCGATAATGCCCTCATGATGCAAAAAGTTCATATTTCGACAAAGAAGGTCACTTATAGAGCCACGCCGCAATTCATTCGATATACAAATGCAGGATACGGTTTGTTCTCGTTCCATGATCAGAAAATCATCACAAATAGACTATGTAGGCTACTCGTCAGTCCATGCTCCTAGTTTTGGTTTTAATTTTAAATACCTTCCCTTGGTCTCTGCTACCATAAATCCGCGCAATGGCCTCGGGCTCAGAGATACTGACCACATTCGGCCCTGTGCGAACCACCTGGCCGTGCCTCTGATGCAATTTAAGCAGACGACGGCTATAATTGGGCGATTTTCGAGAATACTCTCGCCAGAGGTCCGAAATACAAGCATAAACTGGACCTGGGATCTGCCATAAGCGGGTGTAGTTGTAGAGAATGCGAATAGACAAGACCAGGACCACAACTATCGCATACACAAGCATGATGAAGATTAAAAGATATGTGAGATAGACATGGAGCTGGCCATCACTTTATTCCATTCGCAACAGCCGGCCTTGCGGGTAGTCCCGTAAGCTGTATGCGTCAAAAGCTCGCATGTTCGCTTCCTGACAGGCCCCTTTTCTGCCAACCGCGATATCCCGACAGAAACCGGAGGGACCCGGGGGAAGCAATCCCAGTCTTCTATGATTCCGCGACAGAAACGAGTTCATAGTAGTAGTAGTAAAATGCGGTCCGGTCCCGGTCCAATGTCCTTTCGCGACTGGCCAATGCCATTAAGATCCTAGTCATTGCTTGTGTTTTCCCCATCTAGCAACATGAATTGGCCCGCGACTGCTGCCAACCCCACCTCCGCATGACATGCGGATACAGTAATTGCGAACGTGAGCTGTTTCCCTTGACACAACCGCGGAGAACGGCAGGCCAAAGCATATTTATTAGGGAAAGAGAACCAAAAATAATCAACGCCGGGCGTCCGCAATCGAGTACATAACAGAAATGGGGACCGGAAACGCTCCGATTCCCGCACTGATAAGAGGCACACTGATTGGTGCGACCGCCTTCCAGTGACCCGGACAGTCATTATGGACGTGAAGCTCAAATAACCCGAGATCTTCGAGGACACAGCGATTTCTGGATCGAATGGCGATTCTGGGAGGCTCGGAGTTTGTGGGGTAATGCTCCGTACCAACAGTGGTCGAATTGGTGGTGCTGCTGTTCGACGAAGCCGGTAGAAAGCCGCTTATCTCGCAAATACCGACAGGAGAATATTATCAAGATCTGAAATTCTCGATCCATATCAGTTTTGTTTCATTTTGTATCTTCTGGAAGTCCTCAGTGGTTCAATTTGTTCAGTTGTTGCTTACCTTGCCTCCGTCACAACCTGCAAAATGCCTTCTTGACGGTAGACTCTCTTGTCTTCTCAAAATGACGCAAAGCAGGCCTCGGAATCCATTATTACATCGACGCTCGCAGGCTCGACCAGGAGCGCGACGATCGATGGTAGCGTATGTTCTTGCTCGAGCTGCAAAATGAGGTCGGAAAATTGACGAGAAATAGATGCAATCGATGCCGTAACCGCAAGACACGCTGTGCTGGAACTCCTCCCCTGCCCTGTCCAGCATGCGAAGAAGCAGGCCATGTGTGTGTGTATTCTGATGCTGAGAAGAGAGTGTCTGTTCCGGAGAGGTGAGGTTGAAGTCACGGCGTGACCCGAAAGGGAAATTCCAGATAAAGGGGCTGACTGTAGCAGCTATTTGCGACAACTCCAATCTCAAGCACATACGCCACGGCAAAGTATGAGCCTGTCCAATTAGTCAGGAATTGCATGCTAATCAAATCTATATAGATGACAATCTCACTACCAATATTCTACCATCGTCGTCTCTCCCGGGTTCAACGCAGCCCACACCCATCACTAACAGCAGTAACGTCGAACGAGATGATTGGTGGTATGATGGAACAGATAATCTATTTCTTAATCGATCTGGAGAGCACCGTATGTGAAATTCCACCCTAATTGCCCCCGTGGCAGAGCTGATGCGCAGCAGATTTCGTGGGAGCATCCTCGGCCACCCACCTGGCCAAACGTTTGAATCCATCGTCGACCGACCTCACCTGGGACGTGCGCCCACTATACGATGATCCTTCGTCTCTGCGTCGCTCTGTGTCTCGGGTGCTGCCTCAATTGCCACCATACGAATTTGCTAAGCGCCTTTTCTGGGTTCAGTATAAGTTCATCGGGGCCATTTTTTCATTGATTCACCCGCAGGACTTTGAAGAGAGATTGGATATTGTCTACAACCAGCCTGCAGACTTTTCGAATCGAGATTCTTGCTTGATGTACTGCCAGGTCCTGCTGGTCATTGCATTCGGGCTCATGTACTCTGTGAACCAGTGGTCTGGTGATGACGGTCCTCCGGGCTTCAAGTATTTCAAGTACGCCCTTCGCTTTTTACCGGATATCCACGAGGAAGGCTCGATTTTCTTCGTGGACGTTCTGTGTTATGTTGCCTATTATATGCAGAACCTCAATCGCCGCGATGCTGCGTTTCTCTATGTAGGTGACCGACTGTGGCTAAAATAAATGAAAACTGACGACAATCAGATTGGTCTTGCCTTACGAATGGCTATCTCATTGGGCCTTCACCAGGAAGTTTCTGATCAAGCTATAAGTCCGATTGAACGAGACCGCCGTCGACGAGCATGGTGGTCAGTCTACAGCTTGGATCGGTATGCTCACAGTGAAACCTCGAAAATGTGTGATGCCAACTGACTCGGATAGAATACTCTCTGTTAAGTCGGGAAATCCAATTACAATCCAAGACGAAGATATTGGGACTGCATGGCCACCTCTAGTACGCCTTCCTGGGGACACCGCAAGATCCCGTTGCTGACATCGAACAGGAAACGTCTGTAAATGTTCCGTGGCCGTCAGTCGTGCTTATGCATTATATTAACCTGTCAAGGATCTTAGGCAGAATTGGAGAGGGTAAGGATGCACGGACTTAGGAACCTGACACGTACTAAGGTGGAACAGAGATCTACCGCAAAAAACCTCGCTCCGGATCGAATTTATTGGCGTCTGTACAGAGCATTACCAATTCTCTATCCGACTGGCTGCGACACGTTCCAGATCAGCTTCGCATTGACTTTTCCAATCTCGACGCCCCTATCAGTCGCGAGTGCGTGTCGATCAGCTTGCATTTCTATTCATGTGTCAATATGACTGCAAGGCCGCTAGTGTTCTATGTCATACAGCGTCGACTGGATGCAGAGGCCCGAGAATATGCGACGGAAGATTGGAAAGACGGACTGTCTCAAAATGCAGCAGCAGTAATCGATAGCTGCATAAGAGCCGCTCGCGCTACTGCCCTAATCATGGATGCTGCTGCAAAGCAGAATTTGATCGGTATGTCGCTCCGAGGCGTATTTCCAAGTGATTTTGACTGACTCTGTTAGCGACGTATGGCTATTTGGATGGCGAGTACGCGTTTTCCGCTGCCCTTTTGCTAGTTATGGTCAACGCAGCTTTCCCACACAACGAAACCAATTCTCGAACAATGGAAATGGCATTGGATCTTCTGCGCGGCATGGCTGACCGTGGGAACACCTATCTCCGGTCCCGGCATTCCTTACTCCTGGAACTTCAATTCGCCATAGGACCCAAGGCATCCAAGCGAGGGGAGCCAGCCACCGGCGCTCCTGCTACACCCAGCAGCTCCCAGCCGCAGAGTCCCCCTGTCGCCCCCATCGAGGAAACTTCGATTGTTACGCCGATGGAATGGCCCCTAGAGCAGGACCTACCGTCTATCTATGATATCTCGTTCAATTTCGATATCAACGACGACCCGGGGTTATGGGATGGAGTCCTTGGGCAAATCGACATTGATATGGACACAGATTGGATTGAGAATACTTTGCGACGGTAGTCACAATTTAGTACATAGTGCATACAACAAACTACATATATCGCTGCCTGGGTGATCCAATTGAACATCACCAACAAACCGAAACTCCATATTATTATATCGTTGTACAGAGTAGTAGAATACAAGACCTAGACTCCCTTAGCAGTAATGAGTCAACGACTCTTACCTCTCTTCGCTTGTACTCCGTAGTCCGTAACAGTCGAATTCTACTATGAGCCAAGGAGCAAGGCACAACGGTTTCCTTATCTCTAGCCCTCTATCGTTATCTTATCGTCGGCCCGATGCTGCCGACCATCGGCCCGGTAGGTAAGCAACGAGGGGAAGAGTGATTGCGAGGAAAGACGAGAAAGCACGACGAGAGGGTCTGATTGCCGGCAATTTCGGGACGCTGGAGCCCAAAAGGCGTATCGGAATGACTCCCCTGGCTGTGTCGGAGTTGGGGTTATCAGGAGGTTCTTCCGGGGTTATTGTTTCCTTCCCAGATGTGACGTACCTATATTAACTCGGCGCCCCTCGTCTTATTTCTCTTCTCTTTTTCCTCTCTTCCCCAGTTTTCCCCATAGATAGAACAACCATGGCAGAACCCGGGAAAATTACCATCTCTATCGATCGCGGTGGTACCTTCACCGACGTCCACGCAATTGTCCCTGGTCGTCCGGACATTATCTTGAAGCTGCTCTCCGTCGACCCAGGGCACTATCAGGATGCCCCGACGGAAGGTGTTCGTCAGATTCTTGAATTGGTAACCGGCAGAACTCATCCCCGTGGTCAGCCATTGGAGCTAGATAACATCGGTTGTCTGCGCATGGGAACGACTGTTGCGACAAATGCCCTTCTCGAACGCAAAGGAGCCCGCTCCGTGCTCTTCACCACCAAGGGCTTCCGGGATCTGCTGAAGATCGGTGATCAATCGCGTCCGAATATCTTCGATTTGACTGTTACCAGACCGGGTGTGCTTCCCGAGGGCGTGATCGAGGTCAACGAGCGTGTGGTCCCCTGCCACCCATCTGCTGATAAGGACTGCTTCACGGATGCCCGAGTCGTCCAGGGTGTCACGGGGGACAAGTTCCGCGTGGTGCAGGAGTTGGATATCGATCAGGTCAAAAGGGAACTTGGGCGGTTGAAGAACGAGGGATACCAGTCCCTTTCCGTGGCTTTGGTCCATTCGTTTGCATACCCCGAACACGAGCGCCGGATAGGAGAGTTGGCAGAGAGCATGGGCTTCTCCGTCACCTTGTCCTCCAAGCTGCAGCCCATGATCAAGGTTGTCCCTCGAGGCATGTCTGCCGCCGCCGATGCATACCTTACACCCGTGATCAAAACCTACATTGATTCCATCTCGTCCAGTTTCGAAGGCGGCTTGGAGAATCAGCAACAATGCAGATTCGAGTTCATGCAGTCTGACGGTGGACTGGTTGACTTCCGCAGATTTAGTGGCCTCAAGGCTATCTTGTCAGGACCGGCTGCCGGTGTCGTTGGATTTGCTGCTACCAGCTACGACCGGACAGAGAAAACCCCAGTCATTGGATTTGATATGGGAGGGACATCCACTGACGTGTCGAGATTTGACGGTAACCTTGAGCACGTATTTGGCTCTAAGGTCGCCGGAGTCCTCATTCAATCGCCCCAGCTGGACATCAACACAGTCGCTGCCGGTGGTGGTTCGATTCTGACATGGCGCAACGGCCTGTTCTATGTCGGCCCCGAGTCTGCCAGTGCTCACCCTGGTCCAGCATGCTATCGCAAAGGAGGCCCGTTGACCGTGACCGATGCCAACCTCTTCCTTGGCCGACTGTTGCCAGAATATTTCCCCCACATTTTCGGACCCAGTGAAGACCAGCCGCTCGACACCGATGTAACAGCTAAGCTGTTCAACGAATTGACACAGAAGATCAACACCGAACGACGAGAGAAAGGCATGCCCGAGTATAGCCCGGAGGAGGTGGCGCAAGGGTTCTTGGAGGTGGCCGACGAATCGATGGCTCGACCGATCCGCAACCTCACACAAGCTCGCGGATTCGAGACGACATCGCATCATTTGGCTTGTTTCGGAGGTGCTGGTGGTCAGCATGCATGTACCGTTGCTACATCTCTAGGTATTTCTCGCATCATTATTCACAAATATTCGTCAGTCTTGTCCGCGTACGGTCTTGCGCTGGCCGAGGTGGTCAAGGAGTCGCAGGAGCCAGTTTCTACGGACTACCTCTCGTCAAAATCCAGCTTGCAAAAACAGTTCAAAGACATCTCCAAGGCAGCTACCGAAGACATGAAGACCCAGGGCTTCGCGGAGGATCAGGTCCGACACGAGTTGTACCTCAACATGCGATACGAAGGTTCGGATACCAGTCTGATGATTCTGAAGCCCGAAGACGAATCTGTAGACTTCCTGGAGCAATTTCGCATTCGTCATCGTCGCGAATTCAACTTCAACTCGGAGCGTCCTGTGCTTGTTGACGACATTCGTGTACGGACAACCGCTGCTTCCAAAGTCCGAACAGAGAAGAGCCCGCTGGTGCAGCTGAGAGAAGCTAGTATCCAGGATGTGACTGGCGCACCGGACAACACCGCCAAGGCCTACTTTGACGGCCACGGCCGAATCGACACTCCTGTCTACCTCCTCGACAAACTCGACAAGAACGCACGTGTGCACGGCCCTGCGGTTATCATCGACAAAACTCAAACGATCGTTGTGGTACCCAGTGCTGTCGCCAATATCCTCGAGACGTGCATTGTCATTGACCTGAAAGAGACCGACAAGGGCTCTGTGGATGCCGGCAGTCTGACCTCCCAGATTGACCCCATCCGTCTCAGTATCTTTGGACACCGATTCATGTCCATTGCTGAACAGATGGGTCGTACGTTACAGAAGACTTCCGTGTCGACCAACATCAAGGAACGACTTGATTTCTCTTGCGCGTTGTTCTCGCCAGATGGTGGCCTCGTGGCGAACGCGCCTCACGTTCCTGTGCATCTGGGATCTATGCAATTCGCCGTTCGCTTTCAGCACCAGAAGTGGCTGGGTAACTTGAAGGATGGCGATGTATTGGTTGCCAATCACCCAAGCAGTGGCGGTACTCACTTACCTGATATCACCGTAAGTCGACTCCTCTCCTCTCTTTCTCAATTGACCAGCAGTTAACGTATGTAGGTTATTACGCCGGTTTTTGACCGACCCGGAGGCAGCGAGATCATGTTCTACGTGGCCTCCCGTGGTCACCACGCAGATATAGGCGGTATTCTCCCCGGTTCGATGCCACCCAAGTCCACTGAACTCTGGCAAGAAGGAGCAGCCATCGAAGGTGATAAGGTCGTCAGCAACGGCGTGTTTGACGAAGACCGCATGGTAGAACTCCTAGTGCGCAAGCCAGCGCAGTACGAAGGATGCTCCGGAGCGCGATGTCTCAGTGACAACATTTCTGACCTGAAGGCTCAGATTGCGGCGAATACCCGTGGTATCTCTCTGATCCAGAGTCTGTTCACTGAGTACGGCGTGGAGACGGTGCAGAAGTACATGTATGCCATTCAGGCTACTGCTGAAACCGCCGTTCGGAATCTCCTCAAGGGCCTACATGAGAAATTCGATGGAGAACCATTAGAAGCAGTGGACTACATGGATGATGGAACTCCTATCCGTCTGAAGGTTACTATTAATGGAGATGACGGATCTGCCGTGTTTGACTTCACTGGTACCGGCCCAGAAGTGTACGGAGGCTGGAATGCACCGATTGCTATCACCCACTCCGCAATCATCTACTGTCTGCGTTGCTTGATTAACGCCGACGTCCCTCTGAACCAAGGATGCCTGACGCCTATTGACATCCACGTACCATCGCCCAGTATCCTCTCACCAACGAAGGCAGCCGCTGTCGTTGGAGGAAATGTGGTGACTTCGCAGCGTATCACAGATGTGGTCCTCAAGGCATTCCGTGCCTGTGCCGCGTCCCAGGGATGCTGCAACAACCTGACCTTCGGTACCAACAAGCGGATTGATCCAAACACGGGCAAAGAGATCCCCGGTTTCGGATACTACGAGACAATTGCGGGTGGTAGCGGTGCTGGACCAACCTGGGACGGTGAGTCGGGTGTGCATGTGCACATGACCAACACACGGATTACAGACCCCGAGATTCTCGAGAAGCGCTATCCCACGCTGCTCCGGCAATTTACGCTCCGATCTGGCTCGGGTGGTAAAGGCGCGCATCCCGGTGGTGACGGTGTGGTCCGGGAGATTGAATTCCTGGCACCGATGCAGGTCTCGATCTTGTCTGAACGACGGGTATATCGCCCGTATGGATTGGAAGGGGGTGAAGATGCACAGGCTGGGTTGAATTTGTGGGTAACAAGGGATAAGGAAACGGGCGAAGAGCGACAGGTGAATATTGGAGGGAAGAACACGGTGCCTGTCCAGACGCATGATCGGTTGGTGGTTATGTCGGCTGGAGGTGGTGGATGGGGAGAGGCGAAATGATTGAACATGTTGATAGCAGATACTGAGTACCATTTAGGATATTATATATGTACATATTTTACTAAACACGGATTTCTATTTAAACCCGAAGTTTACGAACGACCAGATCCCTTCCGGTATCGCCGCCAGGACACAAACATAAAGCAAATAGACACAACCACGCCCAATCCTGCCAGACCAATCCCAATATATAAAGCGCCACGGAATCCTCGAAGTACATCGCGACCACCATCATTAATATTGGACTCGACGGTTCCGGCAAATCCCAATCCAAGTGAAATAGAGTAGTTGACCGTGGTGCTGACAAGCGAACCGGCCAGACCTTGATGCTCGCGAGGCATGGCGTTACTGAGAATAAGTGTTCCGGACGGGAAAGACATGTCCCTGGTCTGTTAGCATGTCATCAATTAGAAAGCAAAAAAAAAAAAAAAAGAAATATGTATAAACTTACATCCCCCAGCAAGTGATTAGTGACGTGACAAAAGCCTGTGCCCAGAAGGTCTGATGGACCGGGAGCGTGGCGAATATAGTCAAGCCTGCTGTAAAAGCGAGCATGGCGCAAAACATGATGACGCTTGGAGGGGTACGACCAAGGAGGAAGGCAGTGACCAGGGCTGCGATGGCGCCGGACGGCCCTGCGGCAACCCACTTTGTCGTGGCGAGCAGGGGATTATCGCCCTTGATAACTTCCATAAATTGAAAGAAGTAGTAGATTATGATCCCGAAACTGGACCAGCCTGCGGCGATGCAGCCTAATACCCAGGCTAGGTCACCTGTGAAGATGGATCGGGGAAGGAGCGGACATTTCGCGGTGCATTCGACGAGTCCGAAGAAAGCAAGCAAGACGAAACCGACTATGAGTAAGATATAGGTATAGGGCATTGGCCAGCCGACGAGGGCAGCCTGGTTCCATGCAAAGTTGATCAGCACTAAGGCTGAGATGCCGGTAGCCGCGCCTAAGAGGTCTAGTCGGATCCAGGGTGACAGGTCATCGGTGAACTTGCGTCGTGGCTCTTGCGGAATTACAATGATGCCCAGGAAGGCTATGAGGAAGCAAACAATAGCCATGATCCAATATGCCCAGGGCCACCAGACTTTCTGGGCGAGCAGAGAGGAAAAGACACCCCCAAGAATGAACCCGTTTGGTGCGGTTGCCCCGAAAAAGCAAAAAACCATCCCCTTTCGTAGACCAGGAGGATATGCTCGACCCAGGATGGCCAGGGCATTGGGCAGAAGTATGGCTGGACCAATGCCCTGAAAGGCCCGGCAGCAGTCGAAAAAGACTTGACCGGACCAAACACTGAACCCAGCCAGGAGCGACCATAGCCCGAACCAGGAAAAGCCGATGATAAACATGAGCTTGTGTCCATAGACATCTCCAAATCGACCTGCAACGAGAATGAAAGTGCCCACAGTCAAGCTGTATGCAGCTGCGAACCAGCTAAGCTCCCCCAAGTTGGAGGTATTGAAGCTGTGTGCGATGCGGTATATAGGGGCAATTGACATACAAAGACCAACCTGGGTCATAAATTGGGCCATGGACACGACGACCACGAAAATAATTTCCTTCCAGAGTGTTTTCGGAGGAGTAATGGAGGATTGCGAGGACTTTTGGCGGGTGAGGGCTTCGGGGTCATCGTGTTGACTCTGACAATCTCGTGACTCGGTCATGATTGACTGAAAGGTAAAGCATTGAGGCTAAAAACGATGATTGAGCCATAATGATGGATCTATAGCCAATATATAACAGCTTTGCGGTTGCCACTGGTTGTGATATTATTCAGGATGGTCCGTCGGATGAGACAGATCCGTCGGAATCGGGGTGAGCTTGTTATCAACAACGAACAATAGCTTATTTTGATAGAAGTCACTCCGGAAGAACCAGACACAGGCTTAATTCACCTGGAAATCGTCGTTAGCTATGCTATACAGAGCGGATATGCGGATTTACTGACCGGTATGACGAGATCTGGAGTACCGAGTACCCGATGTGGAGATTAAGCTTATCACCAAAGAATACTCCGGAGTACTACAGGCATTCGAGTGGAAAATTGGGCCTCATTCAATCAAACAAGGTTACTCGACAGAGTACTCCGTAGAAATGAAGACGATTGTTTGTGGTTGTTTGCCTCGTGCCTGGCGCTTCAGGCATACACTGACTCAGCAATCACATGCGCCGGTGAAAAAAAGCAGCAAGAGAAACGAAAAAAGCTCTGAATAGCTTCAAATCCGCCCCAAACAGGACAAGACCAGGAGAACCCAGCCGAGGATGCAGTATCACTCTCTTCTGCCTGAGCCTCTGTTTGTGTCTCCTGATTGAAATCATGTGCTCAATAATAGCCATCGCCAAAAACCCCGCCGGCTAAGAGCTTCCCCTCACAGTCCGATCTTCTCCTCATCTTCTTTCTTTCATCTGCTCTTGTTTTGTTTTTGTTCTCAAAGTCATGGGGAACCCTCCGGCTACCATCATAATCGCCAGGTATGTAGTATTGTGTTCGAAGACATGACGACTCTGGCTGACTTGAGATCCCTAGACACGGCGCGCGCCTCGATGCCGCCGACAAAAACTGGCATCTCACCTCCCCGACTCCCTACGACCCTCCCCTTTCCTACGGTGGCTGGATGCAGTCTCGAGCCCTCGGGGCTCGTATCATAGATCTGCTCACATCCCAGGATGATTCTCCTTTGATCACCACCACTGGCTCGCCCCGGTCCCATAGCAGTTCCGCAAATGTCTCCCCGGACAGCAGCGCCCGATCGTCTCCTCAGCCACAGTCTCCATCCAGACGGAAGCGCAGAGTCATTATCCATACTTCACCGTACCTGCGATGTCTGCAGACCGCGATCGCCGTTAGCTCTGGCATCAGCCAGTATCATCCATCCCCAAAATCCGACCCTGTAGGTGCATCGACCGGCCGGGATGGAAATGCTGATGCAACCCCGGATGTCCATCGCTCCCTCCTTCGTGTCGATGCCTTTCTTGGCGAGTGGCTGTCTCCCGACTATTTTGAAGACATCACGCCGCCTCCTAGTTCCGAACGTCTCATCGGAGCCGCCAAAGCAGAACTGTTGCGACGGAGCGTCAATACGGTGCCCCAAGCGGATATCACCAACAAACAACCGACCGGCTACTTTCCTGGGGGCTGGGGCAGCACCTCCACACCTACATCCCCTATCCGGGAAGCAGGGCCTCCGCCGACCAACGCCATTGCCAGAGGTCAGAGATCTCGGGCTGGTAGCTGTGATGCGCTGAACTCTGCCCACAGTATCCGCCCCAAGGGTCTGCTCAGCAGGATTAATACCAACCTCTCCTCCATCCCCGATGACAGCGCCGGAAGCTATGTGCCGCCCACCCCAAGTTATGCCATCGCTCCCTCGGATCCCATCCCCGCCGGATATGTTACGCACGCCCGGAATGCCTGCGCCAACGTGGACTATCAGTGGGATAGCATGCGCACGCCGCAAAGCTGGGGTGATGGCGGTAATTATGGCGAGGAATGGAGTGCCATGCACGCGCGCTTTCGTAACGGCTTGGAGAACATGGTCGAGTGGTATCAAGAAAATGACAATGCACAGTTGAATCCTCAACAACCGCTGGACGGCTACGAGAAAGACAACGGCAAGAACGAGGATGACAGCGACGATGCAGTGGAAACTGTATTGGTTCTGATCACGCATGGCGCTGGCTGCAACGCGATGGTTGGGGCTTTGACCGGTGAGCCCGTGTTGCTGGATTTCAACACGGCATCTCTCACCATGGCAGTACGCGAGGACGCTTCTGAGGACACACCGGGTGTGAAGCCCCGTTACCGGTCCGCGAGCGACCCATCCCGCCTCCTGGCATATGACCTGAAATTAGCCGCATCGGTTGATCACCTCCGTCCTCCAGCAAAGCACACAACGCGGGGTGGCTCGTCGACCTTGTCGTCACCAGTCACTTTGTCTTCTCCGTCGGTGCCTTCTTACCGTCATCGGGCGACGTCCCGGTCGTCCCTATCGCAGGGGCAGTTCATTATCGGACCATCGACGCCGGGTCTCAACTCACAGCCGTTGACGAACGGACGGCCATCAACCGCCCCACGCGGCGCATCGGGCCTATGGGGGTCAAATTCGACCAGCAGTGATGATTCTACCGATGACATTGTGCCTAATTTTGGTAATCCGATAGTGTCTAATCCATCTGCGGATAGGGAAAGAAGCGTCAAGCACAGGCCCGAAGAAGCATCGACGAGTTGGGGGAATGATCAAGTCCCCCAACGCACTTTGTCCCAACGCGGCCTCTGGGGTAGCGCTCCGTTAAAAACCGATCGGACCGATGTCAAACGGCGCTGGACGGTGACCGAACGGAGGGTATGACAGAGATGCTTGGCATAGATAATGCAGATGTTGCAATGCAACTCGACGTGACGAATCAGCGGTTCTTTTTGCTTTATTTTGATGCGATTTTAGGATACCTCAAACTGTTTTGCTGCTTATTGGATGCATTTCAAGGCGTTAGGAATTGAGGGCCACCACTCCCGGTCACAGCGTGCTTTGCTGATATTGAGCACGATTTCAACTCATTCAACTCGCTATACACTTTTGGAATCCTTGTAAAATTTGGTTTTCTTCAGCTATCGTAGCGTACTTTTTATACAGACCTAATCTTCCACCTGTGATTGGCTGGCGGCACTGATACCTAAGGCGCAACTGGGTTCCCCGGATTTCCTCATCGGGCACCTTGTTCTTCCTCGCTCTCTTCCACAATCACACACACACCCTCACGCCCTCGCACTCTCTCACTTGCTGGACTTCTCTTATATTCTCTCTTTAAAGCTTTTTTTTGGCTTCCCTCTTTCTTTACCCAACCTGCAGATGTCCGTCCTCGAGACTGGTGGCTTGTCCGTCACCCATTCGTCCCAGCGGACAAAGTGTCCGGATCTGCGTCTTCTCCATTACAACGATGTCTACCATGTCGAGTACACTCTTTCTACCTATCTGAATGGTGGCATATGCTAACTTCTCTAGACCTGGGTCCGCAGAGCCAGTCGGTGGTGTCCCTCGCTTCCAATCCGTCGTCAACTACTACCGTTCCCACCCCCGCTTCACCGATCAACCTGAGCTCCTCACCTTCTTCTCCGGCGATGCCTTCAATCCGAGTCTCGAGAGTACCGTCACAAAGGGCAGGCACATGGTACCTTTTCTAAACAAGGCAGGGACAGATGTGGCATGTATGGGTGTATGTACTCCGTCAAGGGAATTTGTTGTCGTATGATGTTGACCAGGATCTGACAATTGTCCCACGATGAGGTATAGAACCATGATCTTGACTTTGGTGTCGCCCAATTCCGACATCTGCGCAGTCAAGGGAAGTTTCCCTGGCTGCTGGCGAATGTCCTCGACCCAGCGTTGGGCGAGGGTGTGCCCATCGCCAATTGTGAGCAAACGGTGATGTTGACTGCGTCCAATGGGCTCAAGGTTGGTGTGCTTGGACTGGGTGAGAGAGAATGGTAAGTCTTCGTGGCGCTGTCTGGATGCAGAAGCTGACACTTGTAGGCTTGAAACAATCAACGCCCTCCCGCCTGACCTCATCTACAAATCTGCCACCAAAACTGCTCTCGAACTTGCTCCCCGTCTCCGCGAACAAGGCGCTGATCTGATCGTGGCGGTCACACATCAACGAGAACCAAATGACAACAAACTGGCTAACAACCTCCCGCCGGGAACCGTGGATATCATCTTGGGAGGCCACGACCACTTTTACGCCCACTCGATTATCAACGGAACCCACGTTCTCCGATCCGGAACAGACTTCAAGCAGTTGAGCTACATCGAAGCATGGCGGAAACCGGATGGCTCTGGATGGGACTTTAGCATTGATCGACGTGATATGATTCGAGCAATCCCGGAGGATCCCGCTACGGTGAACCTGGTGGCGCGTTTGACCTCGAGCCTCAAAGCGAAACTGGAAAAACCGATCGGCTTCACAGTTCGTCCGCTAGATGCTCGGTTCTCTACGGTTCGGCAAAGGGAATCCAACTTGGGCAATTTTGTTTGTGACTTGATGCGTCACTACTACGCTGCTGACTGTGCAATGATGGCCGGAGGTACTATGCGCGGGGATCAGGTTTACCCACCCGGAGTCATACGATTGAAGGACATCCTAAACTGCTTTCCATTTGAGGATCCTGTAGTCTTAGTGCGTGTCAAAGGCGATGCGCTCTTCGAAGCACTGGAGAATGGTGTCAGTCAACTTCCTGCTATGGAAGGCCGCTTCACTCAGGTATCCAATATTGCTTTCGGGTTTAAGCCATCTGCGCCACCTGGGTCGCGTATCACCTGGGCCAAGGTTGGCGGCAAACCCATCGACTACGACCACAAATATGCTCTAGCGACGAGAGGGTACATGACTCGTGGCAAGGATGGTTTCGCGTCGCTATTGACGCAGTCTGAAGGGGGTGAGGTAGAGGAGGTAGTCGATGAGGAGAGCGGAGTACTCCTCAGCACGATTCTCCGACAATACTTCCTGAGTTTGAGGGTCATGGGCCGGTGGCAACGTTGGAGTAACAGTATGGCTCGGCACTGGGATGGTGTTCACAAAGGACTCCACTGCAACGGCCGGGTGAAACCCCCATCAGCAGGCCCATCACCTGTTTCAGAAAAGGTACCCGCACAACCACAACGCCCCGGTCTGTCGCGGACCAGCAAAGCGTACTACTATGGTCGATTCCCCCAGATCGCTGCGATAGAAGAGGACGCAGAAGCCGAGGCCGAAGCGGAAGAGGATGTCATGGACTCGGACTCTGATGATGATCCGGAGATCTTGACTACGCCCCAACCCATAACCAACTACGTGACACTTCCGGCGCAGTCTGCCGCGGAAGAAGAATATCGACTTCGACTCGCGCGTCAGGTGCTGCGTAAGTGGATGCGGAAGACGGGATTGCGCTCGTCGCGACTGGATGCTTTGGATCAAGGTGAGGGTGAATTCGAATACAGTCCTGCGTGGACGCAGGGCATTGCACCACGACTAGAGGGACGGATTGTGATCGAGGAGTGAGGAAATATGATTTCTTGCTTGATAGAAGTGATGAATATATGGTTTATGAATAGATATGCTATAGACTTGTACATCTAGAAATGCCACCGGAATTCACGCCGTCTTGCTCTTTCGGATGAAATACTCTCCTCCCCTGAGCGCTTTGTACACGCCGTACAGTCCACTAACAGGCCGGATCTCCCAAATCACGCTCTTCGCCCAATCGACCCAATTCTGCGAGCCCTGTTGCGGACTCAAATCTACACGCACCTTCTGATACAGATCCGGCAGATAGGACGCATGGTATTTCTCCCGCAGGGCATCATACTGCTTCTTATCGTAAATAGACCAGAACTCATCTTCAGTATAGTACGCATGCGCATACAACCACTTCTTCCCCTGTAGATCGAGGACCTTTCGCTCGAGGCGACGGTTCTGCGTCAGGAATGCAGACCGATCACTGGGATGGCGCGAGGGCGCCCATAGACCAAAATTCATGAGATAATAATCGTCCGTGGTTGCGTTCGGCTTCTTTTCGAACTCGGATTCAGTGCTTTTCTCCGCCGCAGAAACAGATCGCTCCATCATCCCTGGCCCATGTCTCAATGGACATAGCCAGATTGGGTATGCGCCAAAGTTCTCCTTGTTATCGAGCCAGTTGACGAATTCGCTTGTTCCGGCGTACGGCACCGCCACGTCTTGGATGATGTACCGTTTTGCGTGGCCGCTTTCGTGCAAGGCATGGTACATAACCCGGGTGTGCATGAACCAGTCCAGTAAGACACGCGTGAGGTAGATGAAGGGCACGAAGAAATAGCTGTAGGCGTAGCGGCCTACCCAGAACGCCCCGCGGTCATAACGGAAGAGGTAGTCGGCGAGGGGGATGTAGTCAACGGCTGCTTGGTTTAGTGCTGGGCCTGACGACTGGTGACTACGGTTCTGGGCTCGTAGATAGTACCATTCATCCCATGGTCTGGTGAGACGAACCGGTGCTGTACGCGGGACGTCGACTAGTTTCCCCGCGCAGACGACGACGTGGTCCCGCGCGTAGACGATACCGTCCAGGTACTCGGTACTAGGGTCGTTTGTGACCGCTCGGAATACGTGCATGGCCTCATCCATACTCGATGTGGAATAGTACCGCAGCTCGATGAACGGCTTGGCGGGGCGCAGCTGTACCTCGAGCATGGTCACCACGCCCAAAGTACCGAATGCCGACGCAGCGCCCCAGAACAGGTCCGTTCGGTCAGTCTTTGACGCTCTAGTGATCTCGCCGTTGGGGAGGATAAATTCAATCCAATTTACCGTTGCGTCGAAGAATCCGTGGCGGAATGAGCTGCTCTCGCCGGACGTTCCGGAGAAGCCCCCGCCCACGGTGATGCCAGGGAATTCCATGACCACCAGCGGAACTAGGTGATGCGCCGCGGTGGCCTGGGCGAGGGCGTCCATTGGGACATTTGGCTCAACTAGAGCCGTCCGAGTGGTCGTATTGATGTCCAAAACATGAGTTAGGTCCGCGGTCGAGATGGTATTATCCGGACCATGCTGGGATTGGCGCGTGCTGTTGGTTGAGCCATGGTAGATACGGAATGGCCGTTGGAGCTGGTGGAAACGCTCGACCTCAGAGGCAATTGCCTTGACAGCTGCATTGTGACGCTCCATAGCGCAGATTATACCCAAAGAGTAAGACGTGAGGTCAAGATGAGGTTGCGCTGCGACTTAACCGCATTGCTTACAGGGTTGCCTGGATGATGTCATGCCAAGAACTATCAGATCGATAAGATAAAGCTCAATATCAAACGCCATGGTATCTTGATGCTAGGAATGCTAGTAAATACAACAACATATACAACGCTACTGAATTCCCACGGGTCGCGCGCCCGATAGGTTGACCACACGACCCCCTCCACCGGCACCAATAGGCGCCGCAGCGGGTTTTGGCGGTTTCACCCACCCAGGCACATTGTCATCCTCGCTCTCGCGAGCATATATGGTTTGCCACACATTCGGGAAACCTGTGGGTATTGCACCCCGCGCACGGGCACCAGGGATGGCGAACCGCGGGTTGCCATGGGTGAGATATCCTCGCAGGAGACCTTGAGTCAACAACGACGCCAGGATGGACTCGATTTCCCACATCATCGGTGTCGGTTTTCCTTGAGCTTCATCCTCCGGATCCAAGGTATTCCGATCGGCATAAGGATCCAATTCATGCTGACTGTAATCGGCATTCGGGTCCCCGTCCGCCAAGGTATGAGCGGGGTTCTCCTGTAACTGCCCCAGCGCATCGAAACAAGCACCCGGGGCTAGGTAATCGTCATATTTCGAAGACACGATGCGATCGGTGCCGCTTGTATCCGGATCATGGGAGTCGGCAAAGTCTGGGTCCGGCACCTTGTAGATGATCTGCGACCCAGCCGCGTTTTCGCCCGCTTTAGCATCCAATGCTCGACTGGGTGAGATGAAGCCGATCGCACCAAGCGATGATTGCACGTGTCGCGACTGAAGCCACTTGACAGCCGTTTCGAGCTTCTTCAAGTAAAGGTAGGGCGGCGGACTGCGTTGAGCTGCAGGGTCCCCAAGAAAGCCTCCATGGATGAACACCTTGCGTGCCAGGGACCGCCATACTATGATTTCGCAGCGATTGCGCAATGCCAGAAGGATACCTTTCCGAGCAAACCATTCGTTTGCCGGCGAGTCAAAAGCAAGGTGTTCCCGAAAGGCAATATAATCGCCCCGGGCAATCAGTTGGCAGATGGGCACAAACTTCTCTGCCAGTCCCTGGGCCTCTGGGCGCTGCAGCAGCTGCCTGGAGGGGAAACGGCCCATGATGATATTGCAAGGAATGAGATAGGTAAGAATGACCCGTTTCTGCTGTAGTGCTTGACGGTGGCACTGGTCGTATGCGGCCTGCAAGGCAATCTGTGCAGGGTAGAAGAGGCTATTCGAGAACAGATAGCGTCCGAGGTAGTGGAGGTAAGTGACTCGCTGCGAAGCAGGGAAATAAGTCAAAGGAGGGGATTGGGCGCTGATACTGGCAAACATTTGTTCTGCATTGCGAAGCTTGCCGCACTATATCGTGGCCAGGTCAGTTTTCAAGCTCTTCAACTTCATGCAGACGGATAAATACCTGGAAAAGTAGTTTCAAACACAAGTTGGCCATAAGATAGATCCCGACGCGCCGTCCTTCAGGTTTTCCTTGCACTCCTGGGGTGCCGCTGCGGTCAGTGAGACACTTGATGAAGGCCTCGCGGACCACGTTGGCCGATTTTTCCACCAGTGTCACTTTCTCCACACTCTCATCTTGATCAGATCGGCCCTCGAGACGTAATAAATGTGCAATCAAGTCGGGTCGACGATCTAACCCCATGGCCAGTTTTGCGAGGACTTTGCACAGGTAGAGGACGGTGGGCAGGACGATGACACCATTTTGGCTGTCACCTAGTGCTAGGACACATTGGCTATAGAGACATGGCTCGTCAGGTCAATCGTGATGGTGGAAAGTATCGATGTGACTTACTTGAGCAGTCCCTTGAGCAGGTTGTAGGTTTCGAGGAGGTTCTCGACATTCACGTCGCGGAGAAAGGTAAGGTAGAGTTTCATGAAGGTGGGAAAGGCGATCCATGAGCTACTCCCCTTAGAGCGCGGTATAAGGCTTTCGCATCGTCGTAGTAATTCGGCATCTTTCTGCGGGGATTCAGCCGGGTATCGTTGGCGTAGCTCGACGACCATCTGCTGGTAAATATCGGACAGCGGCGGTTCAATTTGGAGAAAATCTTGCAATTGGGCACCATCGCGTTGCCGAACGAGATCTCCGATACTAGACAGGAACCTATCCAAGACGGAGCTTCCTGGCGTGGCCATTGTGACGGTTGATCTGACTGCGGAGATGCGACTGTGAAGGAGCGGAGACCGTCCCGGGTCGGAGGGGCTTAATGATAGAGACACAAATGGGTATTTAGCATGTTGCGCACTGCATATTCGTCGGATAGTGTAGATGTAAGATTGAGAGCAATATACCGTGCACAGTGCCGGTTGAATGCCAAACACGGTGCCCAAGGAGACGGAGAAAAGTCGAGGCCATTATGATTCTGCCGCCTTTATGTCCCCGCCTGTCAGACCGCCTTCCGGGAATCGGAGATTGCAATCAGATATCACGAAACATTCGTTATAAGCTTATGTATCCATTGGGAAAGATGATATGATGTATAGGGCTTTTGCAGCGAATTATACGAAGAGGACTCGGCTATTGATGCAGCAGACTATTCACGTTCTTCCCTACTCCGTGCTTTCTGTTCGTAAGTATGTCCGGGAGCTGAGATCATGTTTGTGTCCTGACTAGATGCATGGCTCAACCTGCTAAACTAAGAGCGAGCAGAAGTACACTCCGTAATGACCGAACTAGGCGATCTGCGAATTGAGCATTGAAGTGTGAACGAAGATATGTACTTTGTAGCTCCCGACGTTAGGGCATAACCTTACGGATGTGACAGCGAGAAAAGTACTGGACGCAGTCCCTAGTGCCTCCTGTATGTACCAGGAATAAATCAGGGCATTGGTTAGATTCATGTGAAAAATGGTAAAAAAATCGATCCTGTTTTGTGCCGAATTCACATGGCGTCAAGTCGGATCCATGGTGACGTCACACAATCTGCTTGCCTTATAGGAAAAGAACGCTTTCGTCCACTTTCTCTAGTCTCATCTTTCTTATTCTCCATCTCTCTGTGTTCTCTCACTACTCTTACTCTACTTCTCTCGGTCTTTTGCTATTTTCTCATACTGGGAGAAACCAATTGGCCATTGACACCGACAGTCATGTCCTCGCCGCAGGGCCAGTGGTCTCTCTCGGCCCTCATCAAATATCCATTTCTGGAAATCTTTAGTTTCGCCTATGTCGTCTTCCAGACTGTGCTCAATTGGGTCTTTGCCCCTGTTCCTCCACCGCCGACTTCGCCTGCCACCAGTCTTCCCAAGAAGCGTGTTGCCGTCATCGGTGCTGGTCTAACAGGAGTCTCGTCTGCTGCTCATTGTGTCGGCCATGGTTTCGATGTGCAACTCTTCGAGAGTCGATCTAAGGACAAGGGTCTGGGTGGGATCTGGAGTGTATTCTATTTCTGTATCCTATAGTGAAAAACGGATGCTAACCTCTGCACAGAGAGTGAACTCGACATCCTCGCTCCAGATTCACAGTCTGATGTACCGGTTCCATCCCTCTGTGAGATATGATACCGCCTATCCGACACAACAGGAAATCCGCGACCAGATCGTTGGGGTGTGGAAGCGCTATGGCCTGCAGAAGCGGACCGTGTTCGACACCAAGGTGACCTCTGTGAAACAAGGAAAGGATGGTAAATGGATCATCAACGACAATGAAAAGGAATACGGCCGTTTCGATGGCATTCTAGCCACGGTGGGTGTCTGTGGTGACCCCAAGATGCCGACTCTCCCCGACCAAAGCAAGTTCAAAGGCGGCCTGTACCACTCGTCCGATCTCGACGGCAAGCACGTTAAAGGCAAGAAAGTGCTCGTGGTTGGCGGTGGTGCCAGTGCCATCGAAGCACTCGAGTTTGCTGCTAAGTCTGGTGCCCGCGAGATCGACGTCCTGTCCCGTTCCGACAAGTGGGTGATCCCGCGAAACTTTTTTGTACAGTCGTTGTTGGCCATGAACATTTTTGGACAAGAAACCACCCTTTCATGGGTTCCCGAATGGTTGTTGCACAAGCTGTTCTACCGTGACATGCAGGACATTGCCCCGTCCGGAGGTCTCTTTACGCAGACGCCCATGGCCAACTCGGAGCTGTTCGATTTGATCCGAGATGGTCACGCGCGCTGGATCCGTGGTGATATTGTCCAGGTCCAGGAAGATGGAATTCTCTTCAACCATCGTACCCAAGGTGTTCCCAAGGGCGGCCCTGGCCGCGAATCGGTCGTGACGGGTGATGTGATCATCTTGGCCACGGGTTTCAAGCGTCCTTCGCTTTCCTTCTTGCCAGACGAAGTTTTCGAAGAGCCTTATGGACCGCCCAGCTGGTATCTCCAGGTCTTCCCGCCCAAGTACACCAGCATCTGTGCCAACAACAGCACCTACGTCGATGCCATTGGTACTGTGGGTAACATGCATATTGGCATCTACACCCGGTTCCTTCTGATGTTTTTGGTTGATCCGCTGTCGCAACCGACTGAGGGTCGTATGAAGACCTGGATTGACTGGACTCGACTCATGAAACGGTTCTCCCCTACAGGTGCCTTTGACTTCTTCACCTACTCAGAGCTCATCTACTGGTTCCTGTTTGTGATCTTGGTCAACCCTTTCCGTTGGAAGTGGGCGCCATTTGTCCTGTTTGGTGTCGGCCGGGCTTTGCCAATGGAAGTGGTTAAGCGGGAAGAGGCCCTTCGCAAGACCTTGAGAAAACAACGTTGATTAACGAAAAAAATAAAGCAAAATGGTATAGAGGCGTCGGAATTGCTACATGTGTATTGATGATTTTCTGTACAGATATCCTTAGTTTTAACAATCACGTGTGTTATTTTTATCCTATCTTTTCCTGCAAAATCTTTTCATGGTGTTGCTCTAGGAAGCATCATGTTCGAATATATCTCTACTGCCGGCAGAACGAGACAAACGCCAATCAATATATTACCAATCTGTATCTAAAATAGCACTATCTATAAAACAGGAAATGCATTGTAATCGATTACGCTTCCTTAATATCCGGAATTTTCTTGTCAATGTCAGAAACCAAGTTTCCACCACGCAGCACTCGACCAGGGACCCATCCTCTCTCTTCCAACCAGACCAGAGGCCAGAAGAGAGCCACACCAAATAAGCAGAACAGGGTAGCAAAAGCCTGCCATGCGTAGATAACTAGGTGACCAATGTGCGGAACGACAAACTTGATAAACTCTGACGTTTGGTATAGATCTTCTTGCTTGGCAATGAAGTAGTGTGTGCGGGTGCCGTTTGTTGTATGCTTCTCTTCACCAGGAGAGGTCGTCAGAGTGAGGACGGAGGTGAGAGTGACGGGAGCGACATGGAATGGGAAGAGCCAGATGGAGAAGAGTTGCGACATGTTCACGTAGAGCTTGAGGTTATCTTTGTCGAATGCTGAATTGATTCGGTTAGTGTTGTCTGTTCACCTTGCTCATGATAAAACGATGCGTACCGATGGAATGGATTTGGTGTTCAATGCGAGGTGACATGATCTTGTACCACTGGAAAATCTTTATCACAGCCCAGCGACTTCCCTTGTAGCCCCAGACACGACAGAAGGGATGCACAAATTCTGCGGACGGTGTAAAGAATCGTTCAATGGCCCTTTGCTGCAGCGATGGAGGCGACTCGATCAACATCTGAATCACGGCAGAGACATCTTCCACTATGGATCGAGAGCCGTCAGTTACTGAAGTGAGGGTTGGTGAGGAGCCAATTGACAAACCTGGGTTCTCCATGGTGATTGATTGGAATATTGTATTGCTTTTCGATACGTAGATTTGAATAGGGCGTAGTGAAGGTAAGAACGTATGATAAAGAGAGTGGAGGAAGGGAAAATGATATAGTAAAGTGCCCGTCCAAGTTTCACGGCCGATGATGTCATGGCCGGCGATGCATGTGAATTTGCGACTATCGCCGAAAATAGTAAGAGTGGTAATTATACAGAACTTTTCGCATGGTATCAAAGCATAATAAATGAACAATTTCCCAAAAATGGCATAAGAAAAACAGCCTCTATCGCTTCCAGCTGTCAACCTTCTTCCGTCGCTTGTCAAAGAATTGGCCCACGCCGGCACCATCGCCGCGAGGCATGTCCTCGGTGGTTTTCCGCTTGCGACTCTTGTCCAATGCGCTGCCACTTCCCTTGCCCCTCTGCGTGAGCCTGGCGATACGGTCGGCACCCTCAGTGAGGCCCCTCCAGTCTTCACCACCAAACGTACTCTCCGCACCGCGGCGGCCTCGCTGCTTCTTCTGGTCTTCCTTGCTGACTGCGGGCAGTCGCACAAAGTTGGTTTCCTCGTATGCGTTCCTCTCCTCTTCACGCTCCTTCTCCTTCTGTGATCGCGTGTGTCTTCCACCGGACCGGATCGTACTGCCAATGCTGGCTTCCATCATGGGCGCAGACGACATTTCAGCATTGACAAACTCGTCAACAACATTTGACCGACGAGGACGACGATCCTCGCGTTCGCGACGTTCGGTAGTAGGAAGAGCAGTGGGCATAATCTTGGGTGGCCGGTAAATTCCGTCGCTTGGTGCTTTCTGATCTGTTTTGTCAGATTTGGTCGGCTTCGCCTGGGTCTGGACACCTTGGGAGAAAGCCGAGACATTCGGTCGGTATGCCATGTCATCGATATTTTCCTCGTCTTCGCTTTCTTCATCTTCACTGCCGCTAGACGCTTCTTCGGATCCTGACTCATCCTCGCTATCCGACTCCGGTGCTTTCTTTGTCTTGTTCTTCGTAGGCGCTGGCGCATTCCGCCCTTCTCTTTCAGCGTCCTCTGCTGCCTTGACAACTTTATCAACTTGGTACTTCAGCCGTCCCTCCAATGGTCGGACACCGCGTTCCAAGTAAACTCGTAATTCAGTCAACTTTTTCACGACATCCTCCTGCAGCGACTGGTTTGCTTCGCCATCCTCCCCAGGCGAATCTTCTGATGAAATACCCCTCAACTGAAAGATAGTGAGGAAGACGAGGTTATGGAGGTAGGAAAGGAGCAATTCGCTCTTAGTATTGAGTAGCGAAATGCCTTCTTGCGGAGGGTCGATCGAGGCGTCTGTTGGAAGAGAGGATCCTGTGCCGGAGAGACAACTGGTGATGGTCTCGAGTAGCGTGGAAATATCCTGAGGCGCTGCCTCCGACTGTGCTGCTGTTGCTGCCATGATTTGTTCAATCCAGTGTGCTGGTCTTGTGTTTCTCTCCGCGGCGACAGAAGATTCAAGGGAAATTTTTCGGAGCGGTTATCAGCACGTGCAGATAAGGAGCGTAGATCACGTGCGCCAAGGCGGCCCAGCTGGCCTCATCGCAACCGCAGAGGCAATGCTCGAGCCGCTGCATTGCTTTCTGCCTTGGGGTTATTCGGGGCTTTATTTATGGGTTATTTAATTGTCTATGCTTTAATATTGATTCCATGATCCCCTAACGGCTGACACTCGTGGTGGTAGCAGCTGTTGATTGTATGTCGCGCTCGCCGCTTTGCTACCTAGAAACCACCGGCTAACGCTAGCTTCTTATTGATTCAGAGACAACAGCAACAATGTGGTTTAACGAACGAACATCTCTCCTATATACACTCTTTCTATCTGTTCCTTTATCCTCCGCGTTCTATCTCCCAGGTGTCGCACCGACTTCGTACGATGAAGGACAAGCCGTGCCGCTCTATGTTAACCACTTGACTCCCGGTATAGCTGGACAGGATGACCAGCTCCATTCGGTATTCTCGTACGACTACTACCACCCAGCCTTTCACTTCTGTCGTCCCAAGGATGGGCCAAAAGATGTGCGGGAGTCGTTGGGTAGTATTTTGTTCGGAGACCGGATTCAGACGTCGCCGATCGAGCTACACATGGGTGTAAATGAGACCTGCAAGGCAGTATGTGGGGAGGCCAAATTCGATGCTCGAAGCGCAAAATTCACCAATCGCCGGATCATGCAAGGTTATAATGTCAATTGGCTCGTCGACGGGCTCCCGGCAGCGCAACGAAACGTGGAGACCGTCACCCAGACCGAATTCTACAGCCCCGGATTTGCCCTGGGGATAGCGAATGAGAATGGAGAACCTTACCTGAACAACCATTATGACATCCTAATCGATTTCCACCGCGTTGGATCTGGAGGCAAGGATCAATTCCGTGTTGTGGGCGTCCTCGTTCAACCCGAGTCTCGCCACGACTCGAAAGCTTTGGACGATGGAACAGCGGAGTGTGGTAGCGACAATGCGCCCGTGTTGCTTAGCGAGGATGGTGAGACTGCGGTCACTTTTACATACAGTGTGTATTGGCGCGAGTCACCCACCGTTTGGGCTACGCGCTGGGACAAGTACCTGCACGTGTACGACCCCAAGATCCACTGGTTCTCCCTCATCAACTCGGCTGTCTTTGTTGTGTTCCTGGTTGGCATGGTGAGCATGATCTTGGTCCGAGCTCTCAGGAAGGATATTGCTCGGTACAACAGACTTGATGCGATCAACCTCGAGGATCTGGATGGCACCTCTGCCGCTGTTGAGGATGGCATCCAAGAAGACTCGGGTTGGAAATTGGTTCACGGCGATGTCTTCCGGTGCCCTAGGTCTCCGCTGCTGCTCAGTGTTCTGGTGGGTAATGGTGCCCAGCTTTTCATGATGGCTGGCGTGACAGTCGGTAAGTAGTTGCATGGAGCGAGCTGGACGATTATAGTCATTGTTACTAATGCAACCTCAAGTGTTCGCACTCTTCGGACTCCTCTCTCCTGCGAATCGAGGTTTCCTGGCCACCGCGATTCTCCTCATCTACACCGTGTTTGGTTTTATTGGGGGATATGTGTCGGCTCGGGTGTACAAATCGTTTGGCGGAGACGCGTGGAAGCGGAACATTATCATGACGCCGCTGTTGATCCCGGGTGTGATCTTCTGCACATTCTTCCTGCTGAACCTGTTCGTGTGGGCGAAGGGTTCCAGTGGAGCAGTACCGTTCGGGACGATGCTCGCTTTGGTGCTCATTTGGTTCGTGATCAGCGTGCCGTTGAGCTTCGCGGGTAGCTGGCTTGGATTCAAGCGGAGGGTAAGGGCTCAAATCGCCTACAATCCGAAATCCTCAGGCTAACAGTGTTTATAGCCCGTTGAAGGCCCCACCAAGACCAACCAGATTCCCCGACAAGTGCCCCCGATGAAGGGCACGCTGCGGACAGTCCCGTCTATGTTCCTAACTAGTCTGCTTCCATTTGGAGCAATCTTTGTGGAACTTTATTTCATCATGAACTCGCTCTGGACGAACAAGATTTATTACATGTTTGGGTTCTTATTCATCTGCTACGGTCTGATGATCATTACGACGGCTGCCACAACAGTGTTACTGGTGTACTTCTTGCTCTGCGCTGAAGATTACCGGTGGCACTGGCGCGCTTTTGCCGGCGCTGGCATGACGGGAGGCTATGTGTTCCTTAACGCCCTGCTTTTCTGGGCAACGCGAGTCAGCTTCGGTGGGCTGACGGGGGCGGTTCTCTATGTGGGGTACTCGGCACTGATTGGATTCGTAGCGTTCATTTTAACCGGTATGTTCCACTCTATCCCTATGGGGTTTCGCATCCTCGTCACTAATACGATCACTATTCTAGGCTCGATTGGATTCTTTGCGAGCTGGGCGTTTGTGCATCGCATCTACAGATCGATCAAGGTCGATTAAGCGTTGCATTGCTGTGTTTCTTTTCTTGAACCCGGAGCGTTACTCCGTATTTGGAGACGGTCCATCGACCTCGTTCTGGACTGCGCGGGTCTCCGGTCGTGGAGTCTGGGTGGCCGATGTCCCGGCCCACGCCGCGCGGCTCACAATGAAGGGCAATTCCGGAGACGATGATTGACTGTACTGCTACTCTGTTATTTATGTATAGAAACGGACGCAATGGGTCATGTTTTCCGGAGCAGGTGTTGTGTTTATTGATCGGATATCCTCTGTATAGTTGACGACATGCATTTGTTTATTTCTTCTATTCCCCCTATATAATTGAACCAAGGTATTCCATGCCCGAGAACCATCCCATTGCGCCCTGTATATAGCATAGAAAGTGAAGAACCGTGAATCGCAGGAAAAGAACACATACAAATACCGTGGATCGCCGGGCTGCGCCTCGAACCCGCCAAGCGCTCTGGAGTCGGGACCCTCTGGTGGCGCGTGACTTGCCACGGCTCTGCGACGATGACGAGAGCAACTGGCCGTTTTAGTATTCTCTTCTCTTTGATTCTTCCATACAATTGAAGCATTGGTGCTATTCACCTGTTTCTTGAACTGTATTTTCTGTCTGTCTCGACGAACTCACACTGTTTGCCCCACGATATTCGGCATTCCGTCCGCCCTCAGCCACAATTGTCGCATCTTCTGAATCGCGAGGCTCGACGACGGCTCGACAGACGCGCATAAACAAACCAACACAAAGATCTGGCGTGAGTGTTGGTTGCTTGGTGCACCATGGGCAAATCGTAAGTGGTTTCTGGCACTTCTCCGGTCGCTCCGCATTATCCAGGGGAAAGAAAGGACAAGGACAAGGAATCGAGATGCGGGCAGTGGTTGTTACGCTAGATCTTGGGCAGGTCGCGGAGGTTACCCTCTTGCGCTTTCTCTCTAGCCGATGTTGTTATTGCCGTGTTGTGGTTGGATTGGGTGTAGTTGCAATGAATCTCCTACGTACGAGGCTAACAACTTTCTTGCTCCCTAGACAATCCAAGCTCTCTCCCTCCCAGCTCGATGAGCTTCAAAAGGCGACTCATTTCGACAAAAAGGAACTACAACAATGGTATAAAGGTGCGTGCGATCCGGGGTTGAAGTGACCAGGGGGCATGCTTGTTGACCAGCGGGGCAGGCTTTCTCAAGGATTGTCCCTCGGGGACCCTGACCAAGGAGGAGTTTCAAAAGATCTATCGCCAGTTCTTCCCGTTTGGTGATCCGTCGTCGTTTGCGAATTATGTATTTCGAGTGTTCGACGCAGATAACAGTGGTATGATCGATTTCAAGGAGTTCATCTGTGCGCTGTCGGTGACTTCGCGGGGTCGCATGGAGGATAAACTGGATTGGGCATTCCAACTCTACGATATCGACGGGGATGGCAAGATTACCTACGAAGAGATGCTGGCCATTGTTGAGGCGATTTACAAGATGGTTCGTTTCACCTGCTGCAGCGAGATATACGGCCTTACTGACGGTGACTAGGTCGGCTCGATGGTCAAACTTCCCGAGGACGAGGATACACCAGAGAAACGGGTACGCAAAATCTTCCGCATGATGGACAAGGACGAGAACGGCAGCTTGGACATGGAGGAATTCAAGGAGGGCAGCAAACGGGACGAGACCATTGTCAGTGCGCTGTCGCTGTACGACGGACTGGTATAGCGATTTTGTCCTCTGCTCCATTATGGATGCCACGATAATCCTTCCTGTTCTTGCGTGACCCCTGGCGAATCCGGCGCAATTTGTGGTTTGTTTCTTTTGCTCTTTCTCCATTTGCTCTTCTAGCCTCTTATGTCGCCCTTGGATATTTCCCGTCTATATCCCTCTATATTCTGGATTACTCTCTGTGACGCCCGATCATGTCTTGTCTATTGTCCGTTTTTATGTGTATATGCATTATGGGAGGTGGACTTGGCTGCGATGACCTTTGCTGAGTAGATATGTTTACTTTCATGTACAGTGTTGCCCCCGGGCTCCATGTATGTTTAGCGTATGAAACGGCATAAGTTCTTTCACTGCTCCGTTGACCCGAATCATGGCAAGGCCTAGTTTTTCTGGAAGTCCCCGGCAATCCGCCCTCAATTGGAATGCTCTTGCAATATGACAAATTCACCTACTGCTGAGCCCTACTTCTCTTATGCTGCAAGCGCACCTAGGAGAAGAGAACTACATATTCCCCTCTCTTATCGCCGCGGCATTATTGAAGGCGGTGTGTAGAATCGCTATGGCAGAATAGTAACCCCCCCTCAACTTCTTTTCAACCGAAAAAAACCCAATTGCCCTCTCAAAATGACTACGACCTCACCCGGGAGAGACCCTCTCACTGTCCTGCCTCCAGAGGTCGTCCTGCGCATCCTAGAATTCACGTCGACCTCCGCTCTCGCATCGTTAACCGCAGCCTCCAAGGCCTGGCATACCTTTATCGACGTCATACATCAAGAAGCCATCTACTCGTCCGAATCGAAGACAATCCAACCGTCCGGAGGTGCCCGCGATTTCTCGTACCTAGCGGACAATACCAGCCTTTCCAAATTATTTGACAACCCTGCATCATGGAAGGATGTATGCAAGCGCCAGACGCTGCTCGCCCGCAACTGGGCCGATTCGCACCCAGTTACCCGGGAGTCGATTCTGCAAATCGGTAACGATCCTGTCTGGCGGTTCAAACCCGACTTCAAGCGTCGATTCTTCGTTTCAACGTCCCAGGCTGGCGGACTGAACGTCACCGATATGGACTCAGGCCGGATCATCTGGCGACTTCCATCCACACTGTATGCCGATGACAACGCTGTTCGCCCATTCGCGCATCTGGAATATCAGGACGGCATGGCTGTGTTTGACCGCGAAGGCGATGCAGTTGAGGTCTGGCAAGCGGATCTGGAAGATGCGGAGCGTGGGGAGTTCCGCCGCATCGCGATATTGAATCATGATTGTCAAACAAGAGGGTTTCAGTTGTCTCACTCGACACTTTGTGTGGTGTCTAGCGAAGGACAGGGTTTCGTGTATGATATGACCCAGCGACCTCCCAAGTTGACAACGCACCTGGACATCGAACATGGCGGGGTTGGCCATCTAGACCAGAGCAAGGACGCTGTGGTTTACTCCATGGGGTCAAAGGGCTATCATGTACATGACAAGGCATCCGGTGCTTTCCTGGGTGCGTTACAGCCGTCGCACTGTACGGACAAATATCACATTCGGGCACCCACCGCCGGCTCTCCTGCGGGACCAAGCCATCGAGCCTTCGCTTTCGGACCACCTCGCAGAGACTGCTTGACACCGATCAAGGTCGAGAAAGGTCCTTTGACACCACCCGACGACCGTGAACATGTTTGGCACCGCGAGAATGAATGGGGAGCGGGTATGTTACACGGCGACCTCTTTGTCGGTTTCTCCCGCTCTGGTCGTGTCTTCGTTTGCTCAAATTGGCGCAAGGCCATCCACGACCAAGTCAGTCTGGCGGCCCATAGCTCCCTTCTCGAATGCGAGTCAGATGGGGCCACTTTTGACCTTGGCGGCTGGTTGTCAGTGCGAAACCACCGTCTGATGTTCGAGATCCAAGACCGGATTTATATCGTTGCGCTTGATGACAACAACAAGGTTCAAGCGGTCGAAAATCCTGCACGCGCTTCGTACTCGCTGTTCACCAGCTCCACGTCACAACTGACGGTACCAGTGAGCTTTATGGGATTGTATGATGATGCGATAATGACTACTTACGCCGTATGTCGATCTCCACAATAATAACAGGACGAAACAAGAGCTAACACCAAAATCGCAGACCGTCGGCTGGCACCAACCTCTTCCTAACGTCCCAGGTGGTATACCACAACACCAAGGCCCTACCCGCATCATTCCAACCAAGACCATCCGCATCGTCAGCCTTGCCCCCGATCTTTCTAACCCGTCTTCCTCAAGCTCCCAAATCGGCACGCCCGAAGAAACTCTCGAGCAGCCGTCGGAGGCCAACGGAATTCTGCCTGACCCCAACCAGTTCCTTCCGCCAGCACACAATTTGATGAGTAGGCAAGCCACATTGTTGCACTTGCTTGCTATGCTTCGTGAAGACGCCGACGATGATGAGGACGAGGATGAACTAGGTGTTACGATTACAGATCTCAACGATTTCCAAAACCTGCGTGATCTCCATGATGGCGTCGATGAAGAGTGGGAGGATCTCGATGACCCCGAGGCTGAGCTTGAAGAGCACCAGCATACGCATGAGCATGAGGGACTTTAGGTTGGTTGGATGTAGGAGCAAATGTGGTGGTTATACTTTCTTGCCTCTCTCGCCTTTATCCCCTATTTTTCTATTTCTTCTACTCGGGGTTTTTTGGGAACATTTTTCTAGGATTGCGGGAGCAAGGCTGCATGTATTGTGCGGAGAGGAAAGCCCGTTTCGTGCATTGTTTAGATACCAAGTAGAACGTATGGCAATGGTGATGAATTGAATCTATATTAGTTCGATGGTGCTGATGTCTTTCTTCATGTAAGGGTAAGTCGAAGATGTTTAGCCCTGATCTAATGTGCTGATTACTTGCCAGAACTCTCATGTATATATAATGGATGGCAGAATCATGACAAAGGCACCAGGGCGCCTGAGAGACATGAAGAGACAAACATGAGACAAATCCATGGAGCTGCGTGCGACACATTACTGTGACTATACACATATCTAAAATGTATTTGATTACGTCTATCGCACCGTCACCTCATAAGGCCGAACTCAGTATTCTAACCCATCCAAAATCAAACCCTAGAATAATGTTGGTCCACATCCTTGGCGGAAGCATACTTAGTTCAGTTTACACAAGTCGAATCCAGCTGGATACGGTTGACAGAACTGCGATTTATGCCCGAAGATCTGCACAGCGAAACCCCCTGAGGCATGCCAGGCGATGTGGCAGTGCATTAACCAAACCTGCCCTCGATAGTAAGCAAAGAGACACCTATAAGGGAACGGGAAAGACGCATACGCCGGGGTTTTCAGTCCGAAATATGATGGCTAAGTAGCTACTGGCGAGCAGCATGGCAATGTCTCGTTGTGGCGCATTAGCAAGAGATGACTGGGTGATTGAACTAGAATAAAGGTCACCATATCCGGTCTCTAGAATCAAGAATCGTAACCGTGGAGATGCGTCAGGTGATCCTGAGCGTAGATGAATAGATCACAAAGGATACCCATTGGTCTACTGGCTGCTTGCGGCAGTTGGATGACATGTTTTCTAGCAGTGAAAAAGGTACTCCCGTTGGTCACCTGCACCAAAGTCAGGTTTTTTCATTCAGTGCGAAACGAGGTCTTGATCATTGCTCAGAGAAGGGCGTTGTCGGTAACTTGGGCTGCTACTTCCTCATCCTTGCCGTAGCCGTATGTGTAGGTGTCGGAGGCATTGAGAGGGAGATACGAGGTGAAGTTTGACGAGTCATCGTCAACACGCGAGTTGGTATGGCTGTAAGCGGAGGTCGTCGGGTCAGCCGTTGATTAGTTGTCATAGCGAATAATCACCTTGACATTGTCGACAGCGCTGCTCCCGGAACCAACCTCTTGTGGAATAGCTCAGAAGTTGCCGCTAGTCAGACCCTTTGCGGCAACGATAACACCATAGCGCTGGCCCATACCGATGCGTAGGTCCGCTGTGTTGTACGGAACGATAGATACAAAGTCATTGGAGATGACTTCTATGGTGTGGTTATCGATCATGAAGCGGAAGCGGTTGTCAGCGGCCGCGTTGACCAGGCGAAGATGGTACCCAGTTTTGGCCTCGAAGACGGTTTGAAAGCGAGATCCAAAATTGCCGTTGTATGTGTTGGTTCCGTTAATGGGACCGTTCACCGCAGTCGGCGGTTCCCCTCTTGCGGCTTGGGCATCGAGTTGATCGGCGGTATACTAGCGAGGTCAGTAACAATGCTCTATCCGTCCTTGGTGTGCAATAGAGAGTGGAATAGAGAAGTAGAATGATATGGAAGGGAAAGGTATCGTGTTCATGCTCATGGATGTGAACATGGGCATGATCTATGATGTCCGTCACCCCGTCGTATCCAGTACCATATAAATGATATCGTACACTCGGCTACGGCAGTAGTGGAGTATTTCTGCCACTACAATAAATGCTCGCGAGCTGCTAGAACAATGGGTAGAATGTGCCACCAGAAGGTCTAGTAATTGATCGACGCGTATCATGCCCAGTTTCCATTTGCCATGACTTTTTGTACTTCCCTTATAGATTCTTTTGTCTCCATACCTTCTTACTCCTGTTTCTCTTTACTTCTGTTTTACTACCTTTTCATCCCTTTCTATGTCTCTGTAGGCCATAAAAGTCCTGCATATAACAGGCTAGCAGCAATTCAAGATGAGCAGGTATGCAGGGAAAAAAAAAAAAAAAAAATTGTCCTCCCAATCATCTGCAGTGAGCAGATAGAGCTTCTATTAATCTGCCACAGTGATAATCGCCCCGCTGTCACGAGCTCGGAATAGTAGATACCAACGGACTGAATCCTGTCTAAACTCTTGTAGCCGTCGACGAGAATATTGAGTCTGGAGAGGACGGAAGGAAAGGAATCGATTTACAGGATAAAGGGGTATTATCTATGGGTTCTGTGACCGCGCCAAGTGCTTTCTTTGTTTGCTTGCATGGGGGCGTTTGTCGATATAAGCCACTGAGGCGGCGTTGAGCCGTCATGCCTGCCAAATGAACTTGTTGGATAGGAGCAGCTGAGTGAGACCTGTTGTTGTTATCGGTAGAATAATAATAAATTCATAGTATGCCGCATCAATATGCTGTTGGTCTAGCGACTCCCTAAACACATATCAACGGGCCCTAAGGTATTCCCCGGAAATTACCATACAAACCACAACCACACTGCATCACATCAGGAATGGAGGGATATCGTATGTTTGTCTATCTGGTAATGTCTGGAATTGATACACCGTGAACCCATGATACACGTGACAGTGTAGTACTTCTGTAGGAAACTCAGCCTCGTCTCGCACAATATTCAGCCTCGGTCCCATCTAACAATCTCGAAGTCATATCTCATACCCTGGTCCAGAAGCTATTTTCATTATTAAACTGTTGGATAGCTTTTTCCTTTGATAATATTCCCTATATTCTCTTCCTCCCCTCCACGTCACTCAGAACGGCCAACTGCACATGGCCAGATGGCTTAAGGAATATGCCGAAATCAGCCCCCTGTGGACCGATAAATGAGACATCCAGTGATTCCATGTTGTGTCATAGGCGACACTTGCGTATCCGGCAATATGTGCCAGACTTCCCATCCCGATGCTGGAGGAAGCGGCTATTACTCTGCCGGCTGTACGGCCAACGCAACGAAATTTCACGGTATAGGCAATGGTTCTATTTGAGAGTATACAAACAGGGCAAGATTCAAGGAACCGCTGCGGTAAGTAATTGCCCCTATTACTAGCATGAATGCACAAAATTTTAACAAAACAGTAGTTATAAAAACCCTTCACCCTCTAGATGGGTTTCCTTTCCTTCTTTTTCTCCAGACTTGATATTCTCGTCAATGGCTACAATAGTTTAGATAGAAATACAATTTTGTTAGTATCTACTACTCGTGACAACCACAGCCTTGCCGAAAAAGATCACACACGTGAATTCTGACATTACCAATCTAGCTACCGCCTACAAAAGTGTTGATATGGATACTTAATGACTCATTCAGTTGAATAGGATACCTTGGTATCTTTTTGGTCGAACAATCTATAAGTTAACAAAACATGGTCAACATAAAAAACACCATCCAGTTAGTTACACTGTTAACAAAGGAGTACAAGTCATCATGTAGGTTAAGTGCCTCAAATACTTGCTGTGCTCGGGAGCGAGACAAAAATAGAAAAAGAAAAAGAAAACATAGTTTACATGTACAGGTACATCCAAGCTTGCTAAAACAGGTGCATGTGCATCATTTTGTGTTGTGTGTCACTGCTTGGATATTGGCTATCTGCTCCTGAAGAGGTAAGCTATGCAAATCACCAGCTGAAAGTGAAAATGATGAGCTCCTTGGTGCGACATGGCATGCTTGTGTCAATCACTATGCTCAGTATAATGTGATAGGCACTATCCACAGCGGATAGAGAAAAAACTCTGATTGAAAAAACTATGTATTGCTGTCACGGGTTCGGAATAGTAGATAATAATGAATCAATGATCCTATCTAGACTATTGCAACCATCGACGAGAATACCGAATCTGGAGAAGAAAAGAGAAGAGGAAATCTATCTAGGTAATGAAGGGGTTTTATAAAGGTTGTTGGCGACATGGCTGAGTAGCAGCATTTGCGATGTATCATTCATTGCTGCAGTGTTGAGCCATCATATATGAGTCGTCACAATTGCAAAACATTTTATAACTAGTCTGACGGCAGTCAACTAAGTGCAGAAGGGAAAGTCGTTGCAAAAGAAGTTCAAAGAGACAAAGGGAGTATAATGTGCATAATGCATGTATGCAGTAGTCATAGTCAAAGGATGCTGACTGCATAGCCGTAGTCCCCGGTCCTATCATTTCATCGTAGATGCGATTAGGCATAGATAAGAAGTATGTCGTAGATAGGCGGCAAGTCGCCCTGGTTGGTCAGCAGGAGCAGCGGGTATCAATTGGCCTTCAGCATATATGGAAGTCAACAGTTCTTTACTCCTATCAGCAACGATGGCCCCCATGCACCAAATTATGGCTGTCTGATAGACATTCTCCTCGCCAACTCAGCCTCAGTTTTGAGCTAGCAGAATAACACGCATCTTCGTGTCTGTTTCTTATTCGTTTTCCTTCCATTATCTACTGTCGCTTGAGCTTTTGTCTTTGGTGTTTATGGATTCAGGAAATACGAGCGCGCCCCACGTATCAACCCACAGCAATGGAGCTAAGCATCAGTTGGCGTACCAGTATTACCGTGGCAGGAGCTGTGGTTCTAATTTGTGTTTGGATCTTTCATACACATCGCGTGTTGCAACAAAAAGCAGAAGAAAAACATTATTCGAAGAATTCATTGGAAGAGAAAAAAGTGAGTGGTGCAGAGAAACTGATATCAGGCTTATTTCTAACTTGTTGCAGGAATCGGAGAATCGACCACCCATCGATATTTTGTATCCCCATGCGGATAGCCAAGGCGCCAATGATGCAGAGGTCGAGTATGTTTTTTGCTGTATTCGAATGCTTTATCAATATTGCTAATGTATTTAAAGTATCGTTGCTGTCCACGGCCTTGGCTCAGCGGCAGATTGGTCGTGGGTAGACCTGGCCTGGCCCACGGGCCGCCCATTGGGCCGGCCCAAAAACCCGCCCATGGACGGGTTTGGACAAAAGTCTTCGGCCCATGGGCGGGCCGGGCATGCTTTATCCAGACCCAATGGCTCATGGGCTGGCCCATTTGGCCCAAAATGGGGCAAAATCCAGCTCGCACGTGCCTTGCATAAGTTATCCCTCTTTTCTTGTAATTTTCACTGTATCAGCTTTACAAGAAGAAATCATACTGAATCAGTACAGAAGGTAACAGTTATATTTGAATTTATATACAACATATTGTTTAATTTAAACCTCATAATCAGCAAGCCATCTTGATCGCTTTCGAACCCTTCCTGATATCCTCTGGGTTGACTGCTGAGGTAAATCAGGCTCATTATTTGATTTGGATGAATGTGAATCTTGGGATGAAACACTTATTTGCCTCTTTCTTCCCT